GATCCAGCAACGGCGAAACTTCGCGAGGAATACGGAAACTCGCGGTGGAGTGATGTTCGCAAGAGGTACGTTCCGTGCTGCAGCGGCATCCGTGGCCTCCTCGTGCTCGCTTTCGCCTTCTCTTTTTCGCTCGACCTCTTCCGCGAGAGGTGTACACCTCTGTCCTCGTCGACGAGGCTGAACATGTGACGTGCAGTCGTGTCTAATCGGTGTCTTCGCTGTGTCCAGGTGAGCGACGAATTTAACACGCGCGGATCCTCTGCGCCAGTGCCTCGCGAGTGTCCAAACACCTGAACGCGGTTGGTTCCGGGGTGTCGGTGAGGACGGTTCTTGGAAAGAATTTTCCAGCTATCGATCAGTTTGCTCTGACTCCGCGTTCATCGGTCAGAGTTGTTTGATCGATCGAGGGACAGCGGATGTCGGCCGATTAGGCTGCTCGCGACCATTCTTCTACCCTTGGCGACAGCTGTTCGGGGGTGAGAAAATTTCAAGTCGACTTTTCTATAGACTCTTCGAGCCAACAGACTACCGCGAAACCGGACGAATTACCGTCTTGCTCGCGTCGATTAGCAGCCACGCGTGGCGTTGCTTGGCTGGCTGGCTGGCTGAAAAGAAACGGGACTATACGACGAGCAGTCGATAGAGACGGAACCGTCGCGGCGAGCGGCGTCGGTGTTGGTTCGATAAGAAGTCGCGAGTCACGTTTCACGTCGAGCAGGCCTGTGACCGAGCATTGGCTGGTCGGGAAATTCGCGACGATCGCCGCGATATCGTTTGCGCGGCCTAGATTTTTCTCGCCGGTGCGGTCAGCCCGTCGCACGGCACCGCAGTCGAGCCAGTTTTCCGCCTTGCCATCCGATATTCTCGCGTGTTGCCGCTCGATTCGCCGCCACCGTTCAGAATGCTCCGGGAAAAGATCGGCTAGAGCCGGCTTGCCGGAGAATTTCCGCGACTGTCGCGGACGAGCATTGTCTCCGGACGATGCACGTGCATGCCTCTCCAAAGGACGCGTTTCTCGCATTCCCGTGTCCCCTTTGTCGCGACGTACGAGGTAGGCGAGGTACTCGTGGAAAGTAATTAGCGAGTAACGTTAATGGCAGAAACGAGCTTCGCCGTGAATGATTAATTTCGTTTAACTCGCCGAGGGAAATATTTAGAGCATCTTGTTGCCGGTTAATTTTCAAATGGCTCACATACACGGCACACTCCAATTATGTTTGCTTGCCTTGGCGTGGGTATCGTCGAAGGTTTCGGGATATATCGCGGTGGAATTCCCTTATTTTCTGTTTATTTACTTATTTATTTAACCGGTTAACGCTGGAGCTACTTATTCTGGCCTAAAATTCCATATTCCACGTTTCACATTATCGTTCTCTCGATTTTTCTGTTGGAACCCGGATTTCGATATACAGTACGGGTTCTAGCAACAAGACTACGTCGGAAAAATACAAGTCAGCGGAGAGGAAAAGAGTAAAACTGGAACTGAAACTGAAACTGACCTTTCGCAAATTTTGTGGGTGCTTATATAATGTTAGTTTTTGGTGGGATGAAGATGACCATTGGCCCTTAGCGAAAGTAGGAACGAGTCAATTGTTCTTGGACTCTGAAATTGGTCTGCGTTTATCAACCAAGCCTTTCTAGTGACTAAGGGCCAACGAATCGTTAGTCATCCAACGTTTCTTGCAATACACGCGTAATCTTTTGTTATTTCATTTTTCCCTGAGATTCTGTTGCTTTTTCGCTCACCGATCATTCGACCGTGTGCTCAGCGGAGTGATGGTGCTTCCGTTCTTCATCGTGGAAAAGTGTCAGGTAAATAAACGGTCGGTGTAAGAGAATTGACTGCACTGTCGAAACTTTTCAACGCGTGTCTGTCCCATTACCAATCACGGTTGCGTATTCTCGGTTATGAAACGAGACAGGCGTAATCGGTACCGTGATTGGCAGTTTTCTAGGTGAAACGAAAGAACCACGATCGCGGCGCTTGTCACTCCCTGTCTGAATTATTTCTGAGATAACGGCAGAGATAAGAAGGGAATGTAATTAAGTCGACGATAAACCGGGATGGAATGTCGCTATAGGTCGGACGAGCGTGGTTTCTTCGAACGCCTGGTTGCAGACGATTTCGGATAATTCGTTGCCGGTTCACGGATTAAATCGGGAAAAGTGCACCCCTTTCCCTGTGCGCGATTAAAAGTTGACTCCCGGGTCGATAGGGAGGCGGATAAATTATTCGGCCAGCCTAAACACGGTTCCAGATAATTTCTGAACTCGCATGCCCGCGAACAACCGGCATTAACGTTTTCGTGGCTGAGTGGGCGAGAGAGCGTATTTTCGGTGGCCGCTGTTGCAACATCCGCGACTCGCCTGTGAACGATAAAGTTGAATGAGATTTAAATTTAATTCCGAAATTTCGAGCGAGTTCATTTGGTAACGAGCTCCTCCTGTTTCTCGCCAACTCGGATCCCTCCCGTTGGGAAACGGTATTAGCGTTAATGCTACCCGATATTATCGCGCGTGTTCATACGGGTTTGGGATTATAGTGAAATCTTTCGCTTTCAATTTCCACTATACACCCGAAATGGAGCGCGGCAGACACACGTGTGTTCCGCGGAACGTGATCGCTCAACCATTCGCCAAGAATTTCCTACGGTGCGTTTTCAAAATGACAGCGCAGCCTTCGAGGCTCGCGATCGGTTTTTCCAGTGGGTTCAAGGCGATGCACGATTTATAAATCGAATTTCTCACTCGGCTCAGCCTGTCACTGGGATGCGTAGTTTTAAGAACACGTTTCAGGACGATCTTGATTCGGTTTCTGGCTCTGCTGATAGACACGAGCTCTCAGAATTATTGCCTTAAATTAATATCGTTGCATCCGACGCGTTTTATTCTCCTATTCCTGTATTTTCTGGCATAGGACGTTAGCACGGATAGATAAAATGAATTTACCGCTATGCGAGACGGCAAATAAAAATAGTAGAACGAGATTGCTACCAAGTATTTCCGTAAATATGGCAAACGTCGATATTCTACTTATTTATTTCCTGACCTAGCTTTTAACACGGCGAGCAATTTCTTCTGGCAGATCTCTGCGATTTCGTTGCACCCATTTTGCGTGAGCCTAAATGGATCAAATTTTGGCGACAAACATCGAGATTTACCGTACTTTGTCATGTCTACGAAAGTATTTTGAAGGTGGTAATTCCTTTTCAGCATTTTCATCAACTGCATTAATATTTCTCGGTAAAATTAAATTCGGTTCATCCACACACGCGTCGTACGACTATTTCCTTTACCAAGATAATATCTCTTCGAAGTTACTCAAGAGACACTGGAAATTACAGGGCGTGTTATCGTATCGTACTATAGCTCTGACTCAACGGATCTAATACAGGGTGACGCAAGAGTAACTAGACTTCGCGTCCTCCTCCAGCTCTCGAACATGACTCTCAACGATTACCTTAAATCATCGTAATCGCTCTGTCACACCGTTCACTCCTCTCAAACGTGTCGTATCTTCGAGGTCCCTGGAAAATTTGAAAAGATGCATCGAATAACCCGCGAAAAAAGGGAGAAAAACGAAAAAAGGAAAGGAAGAAGGAGAATATATAAAAAGGGAGAGAGCAAGGAAGAAAGGAAGAAAAGGAAGAAAACAAGGAGATGGACAGATAAGGGCGAAGGAAAGGATAGAGGGCACGGTAGTCGGAGGAAGAGAGCGAGAGAGGGCGAGAGAGAAGCTCGCAACCGTGAAATTCTCTCGCCGCGTGGCGATTGCGGTGAAGTCGTTCATTGACTTCGCTCCCCTCGCCGCCCCCCAGCCGCCCCTCGGATGCATCCGGATTATTCGTTCACGTCGTAGCCTCGCAGCCGAGTGCACTTACGTGTACACACATGTGCGTTTCGTTCTCTCCTCTCCTCTCTCTCTCTCTCTCTCTCTTCCGCGCATTCTGCTCCCGTCCTCTCCCTTCCCTCCGTATCTCTCTCGCTCTCCGCGTCGCTCCCTCTCCCCCCTGGTCGCGATCTGACCCCCACCAGGCCAGGCCGTGCCGCGGCTGTACGCGATGAAGAAAGAGGCAGAAGGAGGCAGTAGACGTGGTGGAGGGCGCGAGAGGGGGAGGGCAGAGGAGGAGTAGACGACTACTCGTTGGAAGAAGCGGGTTCACCGCTTCGCAAAGTTACTCGTGTTCCGTCTTCCATCTAGCGTCGGTTCTTGCCCGTACCAACTCTCCACGCATCCTCGTTTCTCTTGGATCCTTGGTCGCGCACACGGGGTCGCAGCAGATCGAAGGATATTCAAGGTACGGCCAACTCTGGCCATGACCTAGCTCGATCTCTCTCTCACTCTCTGTCTCTTTCTTCCTCTTTCGTTCTCGTTCGTTCTCTACCTCCGTCTCTGTCTCTCCGTCTGGCCTCGAGGTGTTCCGACCTCGAAGGTGTCTCTCTCTTCGTTCGGACCTCGAAAATTGGGACAGACGCAGTTTCCGTAGCCGCGTCTCGGCCAGAGGATTAATTGGCCGGCGTTGACGAGGAAAACGAGCAGAGAAGAACACGCGCGACGACCTTGTTCGTTCAGCATCCCGTCGGATCCGCCGGTTAATTAGCAGCCGAGACGCACGTGCTGGTGTTTTGTTGGTGGAGAACTCTGTGAACAGTGTGACGGTGTTTGTGCACGACCGGGTATCGAATTCGGTATTCGACCACTCGTCCACGAAGAAGCCCCGATCGCCCGAGTCGCGGATAATTGCGTAACGGGAGAAACGCGCGAATCCTGCGACGCTTCGCTGACCTACCGCCGCGACGCGCGATATTACGAGGAGCCGAGGCGTGTTTCGACGCTTGGAAACAGTGGCCAGTGACGTTAGCGATCGTATCCGAAATAGAACGCGACGAGGAATTCGCGTGGAAGCGTCGCGAACACGATGGCAATCATCTGACGGCGCGGATCGCTCGGTTCCTCGCGATTTAGTCCTCGCGGAGGTCCGCCGCGGTAGTCTCGTCGGCGGAGTGGCGTCGGTAGCGCGTGGACGACGCTGAGCGACGCGTCGCGACGCAAGATCGCGCGCAGTGCATTTGGAATCGGATCGCGAGTGCGTCGCGAGTGACGAAAGGGACGCGCTGCTACGCGAGGAAACCGCGACTTTCACCGATGAAAGAACGTAGTATTACGTGAGTAGGCAACAAAGCGTTCCACACGGCGCGGACTCACGCAGAGAGCGGAGAGGACGGAGGAATCGGAGGAATCGGAGGAATCGATTCGCGTAGAGAGAGCAGGTTCTAACGACGGAAGGGACGCTCGGATTAAATCCACGCTTGTCTTTTTTTTCTCTGTGCAGGGTATACTGTCGATCCATACCGGAGGCTATTAGCGGCGATCTTTGTTGGTGAGTAACAGTTTTGCATCGACGCGGCAAGAATGCAGCCGCGCTTCATTCCGCATGCGAAACACGCGGCCGAAGGAATTCAGTGACGACAATCGCTCACCACCGGCCCCGTTCCGTTTCCACTCGCGGGGCCTCGTCCACTGCGATTTATACGCGGTCATAAGCGAACCGTATATGGTTTGCCTGTGAAAGAATCGGTTGCATTTTGCGTCGCTTTTTGCCAGTCCTCAGATCCAACGTCGATCTTGCGATCGTCTCGCTGATCAAAGGTTGCCACGGTCGTCGCGTCTCGCGTCAGCCACTGACTCTTTTCTAGTACCACAGCTAGCTGAGATATAGGAACGACTGGCTTGAAACTTTTTATCCTTCCATTTCCTGAGAAATCAATTCTCTCGTCTCACTTGTATCTCTGTAATTAATATCGTTGACGTCTAAACTGTGTCAATAGTTGTACCATGAAATCTCTCGTTTAAAGTACCCGGCGTGGGTTCTCTCCATTAGCAGTCGGTGAAATTAATTTCTCCTAAAGTACAAGATTTCTTTCTATCCACGTTGTTAATTATTGAAAAAGCACGAACGCTTAAAAATCGCGACGCGCGAGAAAATAACGTATTACGCAGTCTGGTGGAAGAAACAACGAAAGAGCCGTGGTTGCGATCATTTAATCTCGGTTCTAACTTTAGAAAACCGATTGCGAGCTGCATCCTGCGCGTTATCTACGAGCCTGATACTATTATTTGTTGTGTATTCGCGATACGGCGCGGCTGGAAGCGGTGAGCAGCGAAATCCCATGCACGGATCGGTCGTCCGACCGCAAAAGGATTGGCCGAGGAGAGTGACTGGCTAGCGGCCGATTCGCCGTGGAAACTCGTTCCTCGTGAACGGCCCTGTTACGTCGTAGCCATTTCTCGTGCTACGCGAACGCAAACAAACGTGACCGAGGTCGAGCTGAATGAAATTCAAATCGGCCGCGAGCTCAGCCCACTCGTGGTATTTTTGTAACGCGGTAGTTTTCGATTTGACACACCTATCGAGGCACGCGTGCCCCGAGACGCTCGGCTCTGTTGACGTTCCGCGGAATGTTTAGACGCCAGCCAGGTTTGCGCGCTCTAACGACGTCGTTCTCTTCGACTTTCGTCCTAATTCAACATCGTCGAACAATAACACCACCGACTGCGCAGCTCGAAGCGAGGACGCGTTACACCGGTTAGTCCCTCGCCCGTGCTAGTTGACTTTGAGTCGTCGCGCGAATATCATCGACGAATTCCGGCAATTGGCGGCTGTTATCTCTGCTCGGGGACCGATTGCATCCAGCAAAGCGAGGAACACCGAGGGTGAGTGCATTTTTAACGTCTCTTTGCGCTCTACTCACTGTTTCGGACATCATAACACTGAGGAATGATAAAGAACAGGGGGCTGGATAAGTACTCGTATCTTTAGAATTTTCTTGGATAGACACGCGTCACACGGGTCAATTCTCTCGTGGTTCTGGGTGAAGGATTAGCAGGGCACAATGGCAGAGTCCTGCCTGCAATAAATTCGAGGGATCTCGCGTATACAGTATTACGGCGAATAAACGTAGAGACGCAAAGAATAACGCAATTCTTAAAAGTAGGGACGAAAAGGTACATCTATTTAACCGTGGTCCACTAGACTTAACGATACCGGCAGGGTCCCCGCGAGTAGGCCATAAACAAACCTTGGGTGTCGATCCTAACGACAGCGTGGTTCTTTGGTGATCCTTAAACTCTGAGGATATCGCGGGAAAAGAGTAGGGAACATTAGCGACCGGTGTGTGCTATTCGCCGTGGTCGAAGGGCGAAAGTTTGGCGATAGTAGCAAAGATAGTAGCGGAGAGGAGAGACGCGATGGAAGGAGGCGAAAGGTAGGCTGGAGGAGGACCGGAGGAAGAAGGGAGGCAAGGATACGAAGGGCAAAGGGAGCGGAAGAGTGGTCAGACTGGTGTACCAGGACGTTACACCTCGACAGCAAGGGCATGCTCGAAGCAACGTTGCTTCGTCTCCTCTTCCG